AGAAACCGTCTTGCTGACTCTGGAGTTCATCAGAAACCGTCTTACTGCCGCTGGAGTTCATCAGAAACCATCTTACTGACTCTGGAGTTAATCAGAAACCATCTTACTGACTCTGGAGTTAATCAGAAACCGTCTTGCTGACTCTTGAGTTCATCAGAAACTGTCTTACTGGCGCTGGAGTTAATTAGAAACCATTTTGCTGACTGTTAAAACTAAACCAGAGAAACAAATGAGTCTCGTTCAGCAGAAATCCACTTTCTTCAACTTGCCTGAATCAGGTCTAGGAGGAAACAGTTGTCCGTCCTCCACAGCAACGTGCTACTGCTCATCCTGGATGAACCTAAGGTGTTCCCAGACCAGAGAGAACGGTCTGACCCCAAGAAATCCTCCTGTGGGAGGTGTCCTATTCAGATGTCTGGACAACCTCTGCTGACCCCTGTTAACCAGGAGGAGCTGTAATTTGAGTTCTTGAGCTCGACCACCTGCCACATGGAGTTCATTTCAGCCTCTTGGATCCAGAATCCAGTTTGGTTGTCCTCTAGGATCAAATGTCCGGCTTTTAATGGGAGATTTGGTTCAGATCCAACCTCTTGTTCTGGAGCACGGAGGTCCAGACATCTCTCTCCACAGCCACCTCTTCCAGCTCTTCTGGGAGGACTCCAAGCTGTTCCAAGACCAGCTGAGAGACGTAGTCTCTTCAGAGTGTCCTTGGTCTTCCTGGGGTCTTCTTCCAGGTGAACGTTGGAACATCTCCCTATGGAGGCGCTCAGGGTCCGTCCTCACCAGGTGTCTGAACCACCTCACCTGGCTCCTCTGGATGTGGAGGAGCGGCGGTTCTACTTCTGGAGAACTGAACTCCTCACCCTCTCTCCAAGCGAGTCCAGCTACCCTGCAGAGAGAACTCATTTAGATCTCCTGGATCCAGGATCTGGTTCTTTTAGTCGTGACCAGAGGTGAGGGAAACGGAGAGCTTCTCCTGCAGCTCAGCTCCTTCTTAAACCTTTAGCTGAGAAAAAATGTTTAAAAACATCTGGAGGCGCAATCACAAGTGACGAGGAGAAAACTCTACAACTCCAGATTCTTGTTTTAAGCTGCAGCTTCAGCATCCAGTAAGGAACATGTTGAGATGTTCCCTCTGAGTCAGGGCTGAATATGTTGAGATGTTCCCTCTGAGTCAGGGCTGAACATGTTGAGATGTTCCCTCTGAGTCAGGGCTGAACTCCTTGAGATGTTCCCTCTGCAGATGAATAAATCAAACCTTCAGCTGCTTAATTCTGTCCTCGGCTGCTTCTCCTGGACGTCCTGCAGAGCTTCGGCTCCTGCTTCACTGAGATGAAAACCTTCAGCTCGGTGCCTCGGGAGGCGAACAGATAATCCCAGATCAAATGAGCACCGTCCTGCTCCTCCTCCTCCTCCTCCTCCTCCTCCTCCTCCTCCTCCTCCTCCTCGCAGCCTGTCGGAGTTTGGTTCAGAACGTTTCTCCTGCGGCCTCATTCAGCCGAACTCAAACCTGAACCCGTCGATGAGTCGGACGTCACGCCAGAAGGATCCGTCGTGTTGGGATGACTCGACAAAACGCAGCTCAGCGTCTGTCGGTCTGACCGAGTCGAGCCGTTTGTCAGTGGCGGCCATCTTGAATGAGGTCGACTCCCAGTTAAATGTCAGTTCAGGTGAAAACGTTTCCAGAGCGTTCAAACTGGAGCGTCGTGTCTTCACGACTCTGACCTGCAGCTGAAGTTTACCTTTAGACTTTTATTTAGTTTCTGTTTGTGTTCCAGGCATCAGGGAACCAAGAGGATCCAGACCATGCTGCTCAGCTCCCTGATCATGGTGAGTCCAGGTCTTGGACCCGTCTGGGCCGTCAGATTAAATAATCTGTCCTCTGCTGCGTTAGCTGCTGGTTCTGGATCAGTTTCACAGACGTGTTGATCATTTTACCCAACGATCAATAAATAACGAGGGTCTGTTCTAATTCCAGTTCATTAAAACATTTCGGCTGTTGTGTTCGCTGCGCGTCAATAAACTCAATCAGGTTTTTATTAACAAACATTTAAGATGTCGATCAAAGGGTTTTTACACAAAACATGAAAAAAAAAACATTAAAAGTGTCTAAAAACAAAATAAATATTAATAAATTCTGTCCGAGCTGAACCACTTCGCTGAAGAAGCTAAAATTGAGCTGTTAAAAGTAAAAGTAGCTAAAGAAAGGAAAACTAGCTAAAAGCAAAGAGTGGCAGAAAGTTAGCTAGAAGATAAGAGAAACGCTAGCTAAAGAATAGCTAAAAGCTAAAAGTAGCAACAAACAACTTAAAAGCAGCAAAAGCTTAGCTTAAATCGCTAACATGAGCTAACACCAGGTAAAAGTAGCAAAAAGCAACTTTAGGCAACTTCAAGGTGAAATCATACTAAAGTAGCTAAAAGTTACAAACGGTTTATTTGGCTGCAAAGGGAAAGCTAAAAATAGCTGAAAAGAGGCAATAAGTGAGCTAATAGTTGCTAAAATGTAGCAACAAGCGAGGAAAAAGTAGCTAAAAAAGTGAAAGTAACGGATTTTAAAGATTTTGTATTTTTATGGGAAAGTCTAAAAGTCACAGCTGAACCTCCTGAAAGAGCTAAAAGTTTTCTTGTCGACTGAATTTACAAAAAAATAAAAACATTTGTACAAATGAAACTGCAGAGAAATAAACGGCTACATTTTATGAATGATGACTCAGCGAACAAACTTAAATAAATAATAATAATTAATTAGTTATAAATAATAATTAATTAATCAATTAATTAATGTCTGAAAACGTTTTATTTTCAACGCTGAATGAAAAGTTTTCCTCCAACATGTAAAAGATTAAAATGTTTAAGTTTAAAGCCTCGTGCTTCTGGATGAACGGTGTTTGACCGACACCAGGAGGTTCTGGTGGTACCATCAGAACCGGCAGAGATCCAAACGCCCACGCTCGTCTCTGAAACCCGCTGGAGGCTCAGACGCTTCCTGTCGGCCGCCCCTTCACTCGGCTGCAGCCGGGGGAGGGGTCAAAGGTCATTGCAGGTGGGGGCGGAGCCTCAGCTGTGCCAGTCAGTTGAACCGGGCTTTAACGGCCGGCGCCGCAGACCGGAGGGTTGTTGGTCGTGTGAAGGTTAAAGCTGCTTCGGCTGCAGGGAGCCGAACACGAGCCGAATTCTGCCCAAAGGTTCTGCAATAAAAACCCGGTTTTAAATTCTGCCCTTCAGGATTTTATCTGGACTCAGAAACCAGAACCAGAACCAACTAAAATACATTATTAGAACCATCTGGACCTGTTCCTCAGCCCCACCTCCTCCTCTTCTTCCTCTCCTCCTGTTCACCTCCTCCTCCTCAGGTGACCTCTGGCTTCAAGTCCAAGTCCATGACGGCGGCGCTGCCCCCCTCCTTCCTGGACCCGCTCTTCTCCGTCTCTCTGATGGAGGACGTGGAGCTGAGGCAGCTGGTGCTCGAGATCCTCCACAACATCATCGATCGCCACGACAACCGCGCCAAGCTGCGCGGCATCAGGTACGGAACCGGACCCACAGCCGGACCGGCGGTTCTGCCAGAACCGTCCTGGTTTCACAGCGGACGTCTGTTCTGTTACAGGATCATCCCGAACGTCGCGGCGCTGAAGATCAAACGGGAGAAGATTTCCAAACAAGACGTGGGATTCATAAAGAAGGTAGAACACGACCCGGCGCCGCTCTGACCCGGTTCTGACCCGGCGCCGCTCTGACCCGGTTCCGTATTAGATCTAACAGAATCCAACCGTAATGGTTCAGTTCGGCCTTCGCCCTCCATTAACCTTCAACTCGAGCTGCCGCTCGACACGTTTATTTTACAGAGTCCGTCTGCGGTCACCATCAGACCCGGTTCTGACCGGGCCGGTTCATTCCAGAACCAGCTGGATCATCTTTCTGTTGGAATTTATATTTTTAACGTCATCGCTTCTAAAATCCCTTTTAGACGGAGACGAGCTGCTGCTCGTCATTTTTACCACTTCCTGCAGACTTTACGCTTCTTCAGCTGTTTTTATAACTTTTAGCTGTTCACCTTCAAAACAGTTTTATTTCTGCTTCAGCTTTTAGCTGCATTAGCTTCTACTTAGCTGTTTTGATCATTTCAGCTAGCCTTTTGCTACTTCTAGCTTTTATCTGTCTTTTAACTTTTTGCCTCTTTCTGCTTATCTTTGGTTGCTTTCAGATAGCATTTCGGTACATTTAGCTTTTAGCCATTGTTTTGCTACTTTGGCTTTTTGTTATTTTAGCTGACCTTTAGCCTTTAGCTAGCCTTTTTCAACTTTTCACTGATCTCTGTTGCTTTCAGCTCACATTTGGTACATTTAGCTTGTAGTTAGCCTTCAACTACATTTAGCTTTCAGCTGTTGTTTTGCTTCTTTTAGCTATAGTGTTTATTTTTTAACCCTCCTGCTGCCCTTGGATCAAAATGACCTGCGAGGCCTCAGATCATTTTGATCCAAGGGCAGCAGGAGGGTTAACGGCTGTTTTAGCCTCTTCTGCAGATTTCAGCTGATGTTCAGCGCTCAGATACCCCCCCCCCCCCCCAAAGACTTTATTTTTATTTTTATTATCATAAATTTATTTCCTGGAGTGTAAAACAGTTTGTTGATGAAAAATTAATGTTTGTCTTCAAACCCGTTTTAATCCAGAAGTATTTTTCGGCTCCTCCAGCACGGCCAGCAGCTCTACCGCCACGTCTACCTGGGCTGCAAAGAGGAAGACAACGTCCACAAGACCTTCGAGCTGCTCTTCACCACGCTCGCCATCCTGACCATCGAGCTGGCCAACGAGGAGGTCGTCATCGACCTCGTCCGGCTCGCCGTCGCTCTGCAGGTGAGGTTCTCCTGAACACCTTTCAAGGTTTCAGCTGCTGTTCGACTTCAGTCCACGTCTTTGAGGAGCCGAGACTCTGAGGTCAATGAGGACTCTGAGGGTCTCTGAGGACTCTGAGGTCTTTGAGGACCATGAGGGTCTCTGAGGATTCTGAGGGTCTCTGAGGATTCTGAGGGTCTCTGAGGACTTTGAGCGTCTCAGGACTTTGAAGGTCTCTGAGGACTCTGAGGATCTCTGAGGGACTCTGAGGACTCTGAGGACTCTGAGGGTCTCTGAGGAGTCTGAGGGTCTCTGAGGAGTCTGAGGGTCTTTGAGGACTCTGAGGGTCAATGAGGACTCTGAGGGTCTCTGAGGGACTCTGAGGACTCTGAGGGTCTCCGAGGTCTCTGAGGGTCTCAGGACTTTGAGGGTTTCTGAGGACTCTGAGGGTCTCTGAGGGACTCTGAGGACTCTGAGGGTCTTTGAGGACTCTGAGGTCAATGAGGACTCTGAGGTCTATGAGGATTCTGAGGGTCTCTGAGGACTCTGAGGTCTATGAGGACTTTGAGGGTCTCTGAGGACTCTGAGGGTCTCTGAGGACTTTGAGGGTCTCTGAGGACTTTGAAGGTCTCTGAGGACTCTGAGGATCTCTGAGGGACTCTGAGGACTCTGAGGGTCTCTGAGGAGTCTGAGGGTCTCTGAGGACTTTGAGGGTCTTTGAGGACTCTGAGGGTCAATGAGGACTCTGAGGGTCTCTGAGGGACTCTGAGGACTCTGAGGGTCTCTGAGGTCTCTGAGGGTCTCAGGACTTTGAGGGTCTCTGAGGACTCTGAGGGTCTCTGAGGGACTCTGAGGACTCTGAGGGTCTTTGAGGACTCTGAGGTCAATGAGGACTCTGAGGTCTATGAGGACTTTGAGGGTCTCTGAGGACTCTGAGGGTCTCTGAGGACTCTGAGGGTCTCAGGACTTTGAAGGTCTCTGAGGGTCTCTGAGGACTCTGAGGGTCTCTGAGGACTCTGAGGGTCTCTGAGGGACTCTGAGGGGCTCTGAGGGTCTCTGAGGGACTCTGAGGGTCTCTGAGGAACTCTGGAGGTCTCTGAGGGGCTCTGAGGACTCTGAGGGTCTCTGAGGGTCTCTGAGGACTCTGAGGGTCTCTGAGGGGCTCTGAGGACTCTGAGGACTGGAGTTACTGTCACACGTCAGGTTTCTGTTTCTTCCATCTTTGTTTGGGATTACACCGGTCAACCAGAGTCTAATCTGGGCTGCAAGCTGGTCCTTCTGCGTCCAGTTTTTTCTTGACCAAATAAATGGACTTCCTTTTTATTCCATCAGAACCTGGACCGGCTCAGCAGCCGTCCTGCGGTCCCACGTGTGGAGTTGAGTTTTGGTATTCAGTTCTCCGTGACGAGAGCTGTCACCCTGGGGTTGTTACCGCGGCAACAACCTTTATGCTGACGGTGTGAGGGTGCAGTCAACAAGCAGAAAGTCCTCCTGCAACCTTTTAGGGTCCGGATCTTCTGATCTTTGGAAATCTTCCTCTCCAGGGATTAAAACCAGCTGAGACCCAGAGAGTCTGCAGGAGGCGTCGCTGCATGTTTCACAAACGAGAGCATGAAGCAGCAGCAGCAGCTGGACATGTAGCAGCCGGGTGGAGTTAATGACACTGACGAAGCAGCTGCAGCAGCT